TAAAACAATAAAATATTAAGTATCCTAAACAATCTAGATATCATAATGCAATAAGGAAACTAAATAACTAAGGGATCTTGAGCCTTGTCTTGCACTCCAAGCATAAGACTCACCACCCTCCCCTCTCTCTCTCTTGCGCCGCCTAGGACCCGCCGCCTTGCGCCTCGCCTTAGTCCTATAGGACTAAGGTTGCGCCGTCTTCGCCCGCCTGTCCTCTTGCCTCGAGGATTAAGGTCTCGCGCCCTGCGTGCGCCATTCATATTCCTTGAAGGTTCATGCCTCGGACCCACATCCACTTTGCCTATTCCTACTAGGAATATGCTCCCGATTATGTTGCCTGTTCTTTCTAGGATTACTCCCATCACCGATCTTTCACGCATGTTCCGGCACTCAGCTGCTTTTCCTAGTCCTGCGGGGTCCAGTATTCGCGCCTTGCCTATTCCTATGAGGACTAGGCTTGCTCCCATGGTCTTGCCTCTCCCTGCGTGTGCGCACGCAACCTCACCCTTCGCCCGCGTGACCATCTCGCGCACATCCCCCGTGCTCGCACGCTGTGCCGCGCCCGTTGTCGCTCGCTCATTCGCCCTCTCGCGACCGTCCCATGTGCGCGCTGTCCACCCAACATCCACCCCTCGCGCACCGCTCGTCTCTTCCGTAATGTAAACGCCCGAGACCCTAGCCTCCAAGCGTCGTGCGCGTCGCTCCCTCGCGCACGCCTTGCACCAGTCAACTGCATCGCCCGAGCCTGCTATTGTACACTCGGCCCCGGTCCACTGCGCATAGTCCTTCCTCAAGCATCCTAATGTTTCACGCCTATGGGCTACCTTCTCACGTGCCCTTGCGCACCTTCATGCGCTCGACCCTTCAAGCCTCGATCTCTCGAACTTCTTGCTCGACCTCCTTATCGTGGTAGACCCTTGCATGCTTGACCTCCTATGCCATTATGCACGTCGGCACCCTTGTATACGGGCTCATGCACGTCTCCTAGCCCATGCAAGCCTTGTTACGGCCCTTTGCTCGGCCTTCGGCCCTTCTCGACTTTGGGGTCGACACCCACATACGCATCACGCCGCCTAACCGCCTAGCTTCCGTGCCCGCCAAGTCCGCCTAGGGCTGCCTATACGCCACCTAGCCGCCTGACCGATTTTTTCTACCGATCTGTGTAAATCGGAGACGCTCGGGCACTGCTTAGCGCCTAGACGGATGCTCAGGCCGATTTTTAGAACAATGACTGCAAGTAAGTTTGTTTTTGGTTTGATTTAATTT